TGAGTTTTTATTAGACTAGAACATTATACTATAAAAATGTAAGTACATTGTACAATCATTAGAATAGTAGTTCTGATGAATAAAGACAAGATTGCTTAAAAAAAAAAATAAATAAATAAACACTATATTTGTCTACTAAGCCATTGTTACTTAGCCAGAAATTTGATTGGACAATACCAACAGACATTTGCATAGTTTATAAGATTGGCAATAGAATTAATAAATTTAAAGCTTCAAATAAAGCCTTTCACAGCAAAAGAAAACAGTGAGATATTTTTAACCCTTTAAAATATAAAAATATCTGCTTGTTTATATTACAAACAAGCAGGTATTTTTTATATTTTGAAATTAAATAAATTCAGATAATGATAGTAGTTTAAGAGCACTACTATATATACTATAAGTTACTTATAAGTTACTATAGAAAGATACTATATAGTATGACACTAGTAGATTAGCAGAATTTTTACACAAAATTAAAAGCTACAACACCAATTTTACCAACTTTGTGCTTAAAAATCAATAAAAAATTTTTTATGAGAACTATATAATCATACCTGATACAACTCATGATTGTTTACATGAAAAGCAGCCAAATAATAATAAAAGAAGATCTATCGTGCATTTTTTTTGAGCTTCCTAACAACTAGAGCAAATATAGTCAAAATTACTACGTTAAAAAATAACCAAAAACAACTTAATGCACTATCAGCTATATAATTTTGTCTTTAACGTAAATTGACGTATCAAACGGTCATAGCAGATTCTGATTGGACAAACCCGTATGATGTCATACCTGACAATTACTCATAAACGTAAACATTCATTTTAAACCTTTTTTTTACAAAAGTAAATTAAAAAGGTAAATTATTTTTCAATGCATGTATTATGAACATTTTTATGACCATTTCATTCTGAAACTATAGAAATGTCTTCAAGCAATCCGAGATTAAGTAAACTTCCTGTTCATATCAATGTTCTCAATTCTCCGCGTAAGATACGATCTGCGACAACTTCTTCCACAAAAAAGCTCGCAAGTACTTCTACCACTGGAAATAAGGTGTTTAGTTCTGCTAACAACAATTTAAAGAGAAAAAATGTCGATACTTTGAAAAAAAATACGACTACCACGACTAAGCGTGGACGAATAGACCCTCCTCCTCCCGCTCGTACAACTACTACGACTACACGCGGACGAATACAACCTCCTCCTCCTCCTCCCGCTCGTACGACTACCACGACTACACGCGGACGAATACAACCTCCTCCTCCCGCTCGTACGACTACCACGACTACGCGCGGACGAATACAATATCCTCCTCCTCCCGCTCCTTTGCCAAAACCACCTTCCCAAATTGAAATCCTAAGAGACGAAAATTCTAAACTTAAAAAACAATTTGAAGAATTACGTAAAGAATATGATGAAATAACTACTGAAAGTAAGCAACTTCAGAATGAAATTCAAGAGGAAGAATGTACTAGAAAAGAGTACGTAAAAGATATCGACCGGATGAAAAAACGTGTAGCAAACGAAGAGGCTCATGTTAAGGAAATTGAAGACTGTATTGCGAATCTTCAACAAAATCGTGATGATATGGTAAAAAACAATTCAAAGTTAGCATCTGAAATGAAAGCTTATAGATGTGAATTGGAGAAGGCAAATGAAAATATTACCGAACAAACCGAAAAAATCACAAGTAATATAAATCAAATTCAGGAGTTTACTTCTAAATTACAAGAATATGAGCGTCTTCGTAGAAAACTTCATAATGATGTTCAAGATCTTAAAGGAAATATACGTGTGTTCTGTCGTGTTCGTCCATTATTAGAGTCAGAATCACAAAATATTGCTAATTTCAAGTTTCCAAAAGAAATACCATTCAATAGAAAAATCTCTCTTATATCAACAAAAACAAATTATTTAGGAGAGAAAAAAGAAATCTTTAAAGAATATAAATTTGACCAAGTGTTTGATACTTTAGCAACACAGAAAGATATTTTTTCTGAGGTTGCACATATCGTTCAATCGGTTGTAGATGGTTATAACGGGTGCATTTTCGCATATGGCCAAACTGGGGCTGGCAAGACATATACCATGACAGGTCCTGCTAATGCAACCCCTGAAACCGAAGGGATGATCCCTCGAGCGGTCCGTTTAATTTATGATCTCATTCAAGATTTAAAGACTCAGTGTTGGAAATTTACACTAGAAGGACAATTCATAGAAATATATAATGATAGCATTCGAGACTTGCTTGTTGCTGATCCATCTAGTACCAATGGTGTTAAACATAAAACAATTCATGATGAGCGGACTGGCACAAGAATTTCAAAAGCCACTACTGGTATGTTATTAAATATACATTAGGATTATACATTAGGGTTCAGTAAGTACTGAGCTCTATATTGTTTAAAATATAATGCCCTGTACTTACTGAACTATTTATAATTTACATATTCAAATTCACACTATTGATTTCTTTTTTATGTGGTCTAATATTTCTTTGAATTAGTGGATCTTGATTGTCCTAATACACTAAATCAAGCATTAAAAACCGCAGCTCATAATCGAGCAGTCGCTGCAACAAAATGTAACGCTCATTCTTCACGCAGTCATAGTGTATTCATGATTCGATTGAGAGGAACAAATGACAACTCAAATGAAACTAGAATCGGTTCGTTGAATCTAATAGACCTGGCAGGATCAGAACGCCTCTCAAAATCAGAATCTAAAGGTGACCAATTACAAGAGGCAAGACATATTAATTCCAGTTTGAGTCACCTTAAAACTGTGATTCAAGGAATTAAGAAAGATTCTTGTCATATAAATTTTCGTGATTCAACATTAACGTGGCTATTAAAAAATTCCCTTGGTAAAATTGATTTAATGTATACGCATTTGTTTATTCAAGCAAGAAATAATGTATATTTTGTTAATATATATTCATCATTAGGTGGTAACGCTAAGGTTCTCATGCTGGTTAATATTTCACCCTTGGAATCATCACTGTCAGAAACTGAAAGTAGTCTTGAGTTCGCGCGGATGGTAAATTCTGCACATGTGGGAACGGCGCACAAGAATTAAATTCTGATATCTAGGTTTGCAGCCCAAACCTTTTTCTTTTTTTTTGACTTATAGCATTACTACGTAGCTTGGGTTTGAGGAATTTCCAAATCGTAATCAAAACCCAAATATGTGTCCCATTTTCGATTACTAGTGTCAAACTTAGAACCAATTAAATTTATTAAGTCTGTAATAACAGATACAATATATATACATGCATTCAATAATGTATAATATTAAAAAATTCTACACGTGAGTAAATATTAATCCGGTCCAAGGATTGCGAAATCGAAATTAGAAATCAAATAATTAGATTGAATAGGCATCAATAATTAATTTCTTAAATTGAATATATATTTTAATAAGGTTACTAATTTACTTGATTATTTCGAGAAGCAAAAGTTACATTTTTGATAGATCTACAATGCATCCTAAACTGAGGAGGCGTTCTTTGATGCATATATAATTTAATTTTTCAAGAATTTGAGCAATAAAATTTTTTTTATTCTTGATTTTTCAGTTCTGTTGAATCAAATAAAAAAAATTCATCGAATTTGATGGGTGGTTGCTGATCGCTCAAAGTTTGAAAGTATTAAAATAATAAAACCACATCAAAATTTTTATCGAAGATATCAAATTCGATGATTTTTTTTTTTTAGTTTTTTGTTTTTACAGTCTGTAGAATCAAATAAAAAAAATTTATTGAATTTTAATGAATGGCTGTCGCGCTATCTTCAAAATAACAGCCGTGGTCAAATTTTTATAAATATTTAAACGAAGAGCCACCCATCTAAATTCGATGAACTTATATAGAACCAAAATAATAATAATAATAATAATAATAAATTTGTCAAACTTGATGAATTCTTTACTCAAAGTTTTGAAAACATTAAAAATAGCTGCAGCCAAATTTTCATAAAACTTTGAGCGAAAATATCTTGGCAACCACCCATCCAAATTCGATTATGTATTTTTTATGTATTTTGTTTCTACAAATTTGTAAAAGTAAAACTAAAATAAAAAAGATTCATCAAATTTGGTTAGGTAGTAGCTAAAATATCTTTGTCCAAAGGTTTGAAAATATTAAAATATCTATCAAATAATAGCTATGACAAAATATAATCAAATTTGTTTTTTTTTTATATTGATTTTGTAATTATCAAGATATTTTTGCTAAATTTTATGAGAATATAATATATCAAAAATACTATTTCACAGAATTGGTTTGGATTATTTTTAAAATCTAAAGCTATTATAATATTAGCTAATATTAATTTATATACAGTAATTTTGGCCAATTGCAAAATTATCTTTTATTACAGATTAAATTGGCATTTTGTTATTGTAAAAAATTATAAAAGAATATTTTTAATTTATGCCAATACTGCAGTAGTCAAGTAACTCTTTTTGATGATCACTTGTACCAAAAATACAAATCTATTTTTTTTAAAAAATAACCATTTTTGTATAGCTAGAAATAAGTCTGGAAACCATAAATCAGCAGCTGTTATTTAGAGATAGTTTTTATATACTACTTGCTAATAGCCTTGAAGTTTATCACTTACCACAGAGATAGCACTTGTTATTTAGAAGTAGTTTTTATATGCTACTTGCTGACAAGCTCAGAGTTTATTACTTACTAAAAAACAAAAGTACAGCACTATTTGAGTTATTGGTTATTGTATTTCTTTTAAAGTTATATATATACTTTTCTTGGATACAAGTAGTCTCTTACTTGGTCTCTTTCACCTTTCTAAGAATCTTCTAAAATTTTTGATAAAAAGTGAGAATTTGATTTACTCCTTTCAAAAAATCAGCATTATTTACTTTTCAAATAACTACATATCTTGTTTATCTGTGAATATGGTATTACTTTATATAACTTGAATGAGAATTTCTAGTTAAAAAAGTATTTAAAGCTAGTTAATAGTCAGAAAATATTTACATTAAAGCATAGCTTTATAGCCGAGATATACAAATATTGTATTTGTTATATAATTTTTTCTTAAATCTGATACAGATTTTCTTTTTTTTCATTTTAATTTTCAGATTGCTTATTATTACTATTTTTTGATAGAGGTGGTTTTTTTTTTGTCAGCTCTTGGGTTTTTCTTTTGGTTTTTTTTTAAGCTTATTTTTCTTCTTTTGAAATTTTTTCTTTATTTTATTTGCTTTTTTTTAGATATTTTTTATTTTGTTTATTAATTAATAGTTTTGTATTGTAAATATAAGATTATTATTTTCTTTTGCTTTTGGTAAAAAAAAAAAATTAAAGAGATTAGTTTTCAATAGGCTAACAAAGTTTATTTAACTTGTATACAAGTTGGTATGACAAGTCACAGCTAGGCATGTTTATTATAGCTAAGTAACGTTAAGCTTGTAATTAAAAAGAAACCAATTTGTTTAGTTTTAAATAATATTTTGGTTTGTTATTAATTAAATAAACTAGGAAAATAAAACCTATTTGAAGTTCAAAAGGCTAAATATAAAAATATTTTTTTATATTATACTATACCTAGCCAATAAGTATCAACTATCTATTGTTTTAATTGTTTCTTTTTCATGTTATATCTGATTTAGCCAATTAAAATTTAGAATTTGTTAATACATAGATATTAAGTATACTATTGCTTTACTTGTAGTCAGTGTTGTATATAGAACAATTTTAAACAATTTTAAACATTTTTTCAAATTAAAATTACCCAAAATTTTATTAAGATAATATATTTTAATTTTTTCATAAATGAATCTAGCACCTAAAAAAATATATAAATATATATTATTTTAAGTTACTTTATTAATTATTTAAACTTGGAATATAGGCTTTGATGATTTTAAACAATCTTAAATATTAAATATTAGATATAGTATAGACATGTCTTATGTACAATACTGCCTGTAGTATTCTTTTGACAATAAAGTTTTTTAATTATTTAAACTCTAACAAGACCATCAAAGAGTTTAAAAAAAAACCTTATACTAATAGTTAAAGATAACTAGTATACTATATCTCAAAAATATACTAAATAAATATATTTAGGGTTCTAAGTAAAAATAATTAGAATCTAGATTTAGGCTACAGATAAATATCTAGATTAATCTTTTAGGTTTTCTAGATATCTAAGTTCTTATTCTTAGCATTAGGCTTAAAATTTAAAACTTTTTTCAATTATGTAAAAAGTTTTTATTAAGTTTAATAAAGATAAAAACAAGGTTTTATCTTAAATATTAAAAAAAATAATTAAAATCTTTAATAATCTAACAAAAACTGAGATCTTAGAAAGATGAGATATTGTGAACAAGTTAAAGTTTTTACTAATAAATCTTTTTTTTATATATATAAAATTTCATGCTATAATAGTCATACAAACTACATCTAATATAAAGTAAAATTATCACAAAAAAGTATTATATAGCAAACTATTTTGGAGCATAAATAATGGTTATATAAAAAGAAATAAATTTCTAACTTTAAATAGAGTGGAAGTATTGTGATCAATCTAAAAAAAATTTTTTTTTTTTTATATAGTTCTAATTCATTTATATCTTTCTTTTTCTCTTTTTTGTTGTGCTTTTTCTTTTTGTTGTTGTGTTTTTTCTTGTCTTTTTTCTTCTTTTTGTCATGCTTTTTTTTTCTTTTTTCACTTTTTTTTTTTTTGTACTTTTTTTTTCTTCTTTGGGCTGCTATTTCTTTTTTTTGGTTTGCTTTAGCAATTTTTTTATTAGTCTCTTTCTTTGTAGTTTTTAATTGCTTTTAACTTTCTTTACAAGTAAGAAGCTATACAAATAGAAGAGTTTTTTTTTTTTAGATGAAGATGACTCAGATTCCAGTTAATCAAGTACTTGTGAAATTAAAAAAACTAGATACTTAAGAGCCAAATATAAAGAATTTTATTTCTTTCTTCATTGCTATAAATTGAATTTTTAGCATTTTATTTTCATTTTGAGTATTTTGTTTTCATTTTTAAAAATCTTATTTTTTTTTGTATTAAGGCAGCATTTGTACAAGTATAATAAATTGGCTTGTTAGAAGATGATTAAAATGATTTAACAAAATTGTGTAGAAAGTTGTTGGTTAGCTAAAGACTAGTTAGTTGAAGATTAATTATTTGAAGGTTGGCTAGTTATAGGTACTATATCAAATTGCTTTGTTACTAATGAAGAGTTTAAGCAATCTATACTAATAGTATTGAGATTAAATAGCCATATTCTAGTACTTTGGAAGAAGTTACAAATAGCTGTTGGTGTATAAGTTTCAAGAAAAGCTAGACCAAAAACTTTTGCAAAGGTTTATTTTGTTACTATTTTTTTATTATTATTGTTTTGATATTTGTTGCATTCTTTTCTGTACTTATTTTTTAATTTTGCAAAAAGAAGTTTGGATAGTTGTAATATATGTATTATATGAGGTGGAAGTATGTAAAGAAAAATTTTATACTTGTAACAGAACTTGATACACATATAGCTTATGTGGCTCTTATAGTTATCAAATATTAATAATATAAGCAGGTGAGTGAAATAGAATTATTGAAATAAGTAAGATATATTTGAAAAAGATCTTCTTACATATACTTGCTATCTGTAAACCTCATTACAGTTTTAGCAGGTGCACTTTCTAATAGGCCAAAAATTATACAAGCACTCTTATAAATTATTAAAGAAGGAATAAACTCTCTAGGATCTCTAAAGGAGGTTATCCTCTTGTTCCATAATAAATAAAGGTTAAAAAAATATACTATCCTAATATCGAACTGTTTATCTTCTGTTGTGGATACTTAATTGTATTCCACATCCACCTCATATATATTCCAATAGCAGGATCTCTGCACCAGGTAACCTTGTTACTGTGCTATGTAGTTACAAAAAAGACTATAGTATTGTAACATTATGTATATAGTTCTTAACTCAATAAAAATTTAATAAAACTGCTAAAAATAACAACAACAACAATAATAATAATAATAATAAATGTTTTAAATATGTTTATAAAATTAAAATATAAAAATCTTTTTTTTCATCTAGCTAGGCAACTCTCTGATGATCACTTGTACTAAATTTTCTTATCAAACAGAAACAAAAATTTTGTTGGAGTAGTTGATGTAACTATCAGGTAGTTTTTGCAAAGGTCAACCTTTGTTTTGGGAAACTCTTTTGGCATATTCGGTATGCAAGCCAAAAGCATTGAAATACAAAATAACTAGCAAAAAGATGATACTCTTGTATACAAAATTTTGGTGATAATAGCCTGGAGATAGAGGTTTTTTTATCAATAAAGTAATTAAGAGGCAACAAAGAGAAAGGAAATAACAAATAAGTTTCTTTAACATACTTTTTGGAAAATTTAGAGTACCTGTTTTCAACAAATATTATATATATCTTCTATCATATTTTTGCAGTTTTGAAATTTTTTAAAAATTTTGGCCAAAAAGTAAAAAAATCAGCATATCCTTTCCAAAAAATCAGCAGTGTTTACTCCTTCCAAATTAGAATGTGTCTACTGAAACAAAACCTCCTATGAGCTTATTGGATTCTGCTTTGCTAAATAAACAATGACAGTAGTACTGTTTACAGTATAGGGGATCAGAAGAATCATGTATAGAAATTTTTTAATGTTGAACATTTTTTTCTTTATACTTCTTTTAGTATATATAGTGTTAAATTAGATTTTTTTTCAAACAATAGTATATAATTTTTATAGCCTAACACAGGCAATAATAGTGTCATCATGGCTATCTTTTTTTCAGTCTTTTTTTTCTTGTTTTCTTTTTACTTTGTTTGTTTTTTTAGTTTTATTTAGTTTAGACTTTTTCTCTTTTTTAGTTTTTCTTTTATTTTGTATTTGTTTTTTTATTTTTGTTTTTCATTAGTAGTTCTTTTATCTAGGAGGCTAGGAGAAAAAGGTTGGAAAAGAAGGCAGTTATGACAGGCTAGTGAACCAGGTTAGTGATTTGATAATAAGTCAGTTTAAGTAAAATAAGCCAAACCTAACCGGTGAGATTAAACTCATTTTTGGCAGATTGTATATAAATCTAATTGAAAACTAGATAAGCTATATTCCAGATTTTTTGCCATAAAGCATAATGTAATTCAAACAAATCCTTCAGGAAATGTAGTACCTTATTAATAAAGAAGGCATATGACATAGCTGTCAAATTTTTTTAAAAATATATATATATATATATAAAAATCTTATATACTATACTATAATATTATTTGTTTTCAAAGTTTGAATTACATGTTATTAATATTGTCAAAATTTGTTTTTAAGTATATTAATAGAAAAGAGATTAAGCTTAAATATCTTAGCAATTATCTTATTAAATTTAATAAATTTTTTTTATTTAACTTCTTACAATTCTTCCTGACAATTACTCATATCAAATTTTCTTACCGAACAAAACCAAAAATTTTATTAAAAAAGAAAAAGGCACTATGAAAATAGTTCTTGTAAAGGTCAACTTTTCTATCTAGGAACTCCTTTACATATTCAGCATGCAAATCAAAAATATTAATATACAAGATAACTAGCAAGTGGTGCTCTTGTATACAAAATTTTGAAGGTGATACTTTGACAGAAGTAAGGCCACTTTGTCAATGAAGTTAAGCATAGACAACATAATAGAAGAAGAACAACAAATGAGTTTTTTAAACCACTCTTTTGAAAATTTGAAGTACCTGATCTTAAAAATCACTCTTTATATTCCTGCTAGGTTTTTTGGTATTTTTCTCAGAATTTTTTCCAAAATGTAGAAAATTCAACATACCTTCTATGAAAGATTAACATTGTTTACGTAGCCAAATTGGGAATGGCAAGTTACGAAAAAGTCACACTACTACACACCTGACTAATGGTGAATGAAATATAATAGATCTGTAGGGTAAACAAGAAAAATTTTGTATTTCTTATATTATTGAACTATTTTAATACCAAAGTAAAGCAAAGGTGAGAATTGTTTTGCAGAGTATTAAATAATTTTTTAAGCTCTGCACTGGCACAAATAGTGTTGTAATGTTTCTGTTTTTTCTTTGTTCTTCTTTTCTTTTTTGTCTTTTTTCCTTTCTTTGTTTTTGATTTTTGTTTAGGTTTTTTAGCTTTCCCCTTTTTTTTTTTTACTATTCTTTTTTTTAGTTTAGTCTTTTTTAGTTACTTGTTGTTCTTTAGGCAATGATTATGGAATCCTCTTGCTTGATAATTAGAAAAGAAGGGATTTAAAAGAATTGCAATCATGACAGGCTATAGAAACCATTCACTAATATGCTTATTCACTTTGTTTGCAGTAGTAATAAGTAAGAAGATAAACTCTACTATAGCAGGTCAAACATAGATATAACCAGGTTAGCTAACACTTGTAACTTAGGTGACTGAGCCAATTGGTTTAGTAAAATCAATAAACTGTGTAGTTTGTTTATTCATACCTAATAAAGTAAAAATATGACTGCCAAAATTAAAAAAAAAAAAATTTTTTTATTTTAATTCTATATAATTTCAAGATTAAAATAAAAAGATTTTTTGCAAATTTGATCAAATAGTTGTTGAGATATTTAATTTAAAAATTAAAAAATTTTACAGTATAACAATATATATTTAATATATAGGGAGAGTTAATAGAAAAAGGAAAAATCATTTTTAGTATTTAGTATACTATAATTAATTTTATATATTAATTTTAATAATACACTTTTAAAACTAATAGAATATTTATAATAGTATGCAACTGTACTTATAACATATCCAATAACTTCATGCTAAAAACTCAATCGACTCAAGCTTAAATTCACAAACTCAAGTTGTTATTCAAGTTAAAACCTCAATATTAATGTTCATAAACTTTAATTCGTTTTTTTTCTTTGACTAAACTCAGAACTAAGCAAACCATTTAAAATCCATAATTTTTCAAAGAAGCTTGGGCGCTTATAGAATTATTGACTATTCGTACATTTTATTGTCAATGATATGGGCTGCCGTCAATAGAAATCAGGCAGATTGACATTTTAACAAAAAATCTATACCTCAACTTTTACAGCAAATATCTCGATGAATTTTGAAGCTAATTTGATAATTTAAAATTCGAAAGAAAGAATAAGTTCTAAGATTTCTTTTGAATATTGAATCATCAAGATAGCTTCTGAAAGTTGAGGTATGGATTTTTTTTAAAATGTCAATCTGACTGATTTCTATTGACGGCAGCCCATATATTTATTCCAGTGAGAACTCAACCACTGGAAGTCTGTACCTCCGTGAGCTCCAGCTTCCGACAAGTGACAATATAACACTCGGGTATTATCATGGCAAAAAAAAAAAAATTACACCATGTAAACTACCCGGTATTTTGAATATGGTACTGAAAAAAGGGGATATCTTAATCGGTGTATTATGGTATTGGTTCTAAATGTGTACGCATAGACATGCGTTTATCTTATAGCTGATGATCCTTCGCGAATTGTATCTGATTTTATAAAATTCTGGAAATATGTTAATTTTTTTTTCTTCTATTTACTAACCATAATAAGTTAATAAATATATAATGTATCAAAACATCCAAATTTTTCTCGTTATTAAACAGATTATAATGGCTTATCTAGTTTAAGGTGTGTTTATGTAAATTCTTACAATGAAGGGGTTAATTAATCATGCTCATCTCAAGAAAAAAAGTTTGAGAAAAATTGCAATCACAATTTTGTGAATTAATTGATCCTTAAAAGTAACAAAAAAAAGGAACATAAATGAAATAAAATAATAAAAATAAGGCAAAAAAGGTGGAATATTACAAGGAACCCATCCTTCACCACCATGAGCTTTCTTGATGTATTCCCGAAAATGTTGTGTCTTGTTCAAAGTCATCCCAGGTGCTTCCCCATTCCCCTGATCCCCAACCACCATTATCATCTTCTTCAACCTCTGGTTCATCCACATCATTATTATCCGGTCCAAATGAAACGATTTCGTTAATCTGATCCTCGAATGGGAAGTCATCATCCCAAGTAGGCCCTTCATCAAAATCCATTTCATCATCCCAATTATCCCAATCTCTTGTAAAAATGTGGTGGATACTGCGATTGATAGAAAGTCCACCAAGGATTTCAGAGATTGTTCTGAAATCAAACCCACTACCCTCTCCGGTTACCTCCAAGTACCGGAAATTTCCTAAAGAGCATGTTCTTGGTTTTTTTTTCTTTGGAGGCCCTAAACTACACCTAGATCCATCTGGATTGGCGTGTTTATAAAAACATTCATCAGCAAATGGGCACTTCCTGGACTCCTGAAAATATTTACAAGGAATCCGAGACATTCGCTCTTTGTATGATAAAATGATTTGATCCTTTTTTTGTCCAGCTTTCGCAAAGCTAGGCGAAGGTACAATATAAGGTGAGTTCTTTCGGCAAACAGGACAAGTTTTAGTTGTGTCGGTTGTCTGAAAAGGCGTAGAAAGATTATCCGTTTTGCGCCATTCTTTTATACAATCTATCAAATAGTAATCATGGTAAATATCTGAATAAAAATTATTATATAATGTTTTAGATAATTAAAACGCTTACCACGACAGAATACATGGTCACAAGATACTATTTAAAAGATAATAATCATGATGATTAATATTCACGTAAAATATTGATGAATGTTATGGAAACATTTAAAAAATACACAATTAATTACAGGTTTGAACGATCGAACATGATTAAAGAGTAACCTATAAACATATTAAATCAAATGGCGAATGTTTAGTCAAAAAATAAACCTACCAAGCAAACCAAATATTTTTGGTACATCATAACAGATGGCACAGATATTTTCCTCCTCTTCCTCGTTTTCTTTTTGTTTTTCTTTCCTTCTGGTTTCCATTTCATTACTAACGGACGTATCGGGCAATTCGTGTCTATTCCAGCATGCATCACCATACATACAGCGACTTTGAAGGAAGAATCTGCAAATGCCGGCGTTATTTTGTGACTTGTTGTTTTCTGCACGACTGCTTGAGTTTGCCATATTGTTTGAACTAGAATGCGAACCTTGCCCTCTGGTCGAAGTTGATCTATGTGAAGAACTCGACTTACTATTAGAGGAAGATCCTTCCCCATTATTACGGTTACGCAGACTATGATTACTAGCCTCACGTACGTGACGTGGGGTGCGAGTGTAAGGTGTTCTATAAACGTAAGAAGACATTATTCTTTCGCGTTAAAGTCTGTTAAAATATTTTGTAATCAGAACCTTAGTTAGTGCTTTCTAATCGATCAACTTTTTGTTTTCAAAACGTGTCAAAAGCATAAGGTAAATACATACCACGAGCGAGTTCAGAAAAGAAAATCTGCAAATTGCTTAACTGCCTCGTGTAAGTCTATTTTCTTTGTCGCTGGTCTATATTTATATTAAATAAACTAGCTCCGAATTTTTTAGTTCTTTAGGCAGAATTATCATTATTTGTACTACACTATATTATTGTTATCATTAATATTGTTAAACCAAAAGCATACGATATATATAACTTATATATATATATATATATATATATACTGCAAATTTCTATCCAATTGAATTCAATTTTTAATTTCATAAGTTTTGAAACTTTTAAATTAAATAGTACAGTATATTGAAAGTATAGTTTATACTAGATACTGGTAAAATTAATCCAATGGTGGTAAAATTAAAATTTATAATCACTATCGCTATACTATAATTGCTAATCCGTCTAAGATAGATAGTATTTCATATGCGCAAATTTTATTATAATTATGAAACCTTTTCCTCCATAGCTAACTATTTTTTTTTATTAAGCTAATGTATATTTAATTTCTAGCAAAAAGTGTAGAGAACCCATTTTTACATATAGTGTAAAAAAATTATTAAAATTGGTTTAGTAACTTGTGAAATATTTATATTTTAGATTTTGTAACTATATAGAATTTTCTTAATGAATGGGAAAAAAAAACTTTCAAGTCTATATAAAAACATAGTAATTTGCGCTATAGTTACTATATAATAATACTATCGTTCTTATGCGAATTGCTAATTAAAAAATTTTTAAAGATAACAAAAAGCTAAATAATAACTAAATAATATAAGGCCACACAAACTTATACTATTGGTTTTCATATTCTGGCCAGGTTGGTGAGGTGGGGTTTTGAAATTTTAATTTTTTTAATATATTAGCCAATAGAAATTCTCCATTCATAATCATGCGAACAGAGCGAGCTTTTATTATAGCAACTAGGTATTTGAGTTGTTTAAAAGAAGTTAGAATAGAGTATGTTATATTATATTGTAATACAATTCTCAAATTTTTATCAATTTTATATTATATATAATTATAGCAAAACAGATAGAATAATAATAAAAAATTATTTGATATAGCCATTACACTTTATTTTGTAGTATTATATATTATATTGGCACAAATTTTGAATAAAATGTTTTATATCTCAGATTATATATAAAATTTATAATTTTAATCTTTTATATTCCAATTAATTTATTTTATATACTTTTATTTAACTATTCTACATTCTTTTATTACAATATCTTTTATATTGTAAATAGATTTTTTTTTGTTATTTTTTGTATGTTATTACTAGGGTTGGCACAGACCATTCAATGGTCAAGCTTGACCAGACCAGTTTGACTAATTTGACCAATTGGTCAAAGAGTTTAGTATTGGTCAAATTGGTCAAAAAATATTTAAATATATAATATATATATATATATATTTTTTCCTTTGATAACCGCATACTAAAATTTTATTAAATGTATAATGCTTAATACAAGACCAAGCTACTTTAATAGGGAATTAGACTAAAAGCCAGCTGTTTTTTAAAAATGCCCAACCTTGGTTATCGCACTGATGTTGACCACTATACTCCACATACGGTGCACCATATTTAAAGATATAATATAGCCAGGGCTCAGCTCCCACCTCAGGACCTCTTTTCTTTTTTAATTCTTCCTTCTTCTCAAAGAGCACAAGACAAAAGGGGGAAAAGTTTAAATCAAAAAACAAATACGAAAACAACCAAAAAGAAAAACAAACAAACAAAAAGAAAAAATAAACACAAATTTCAAAAAAGAAAAAACATGAAAAGAAAACTAAGACTCTAAAGGCACTATTATAACCCATGCATGGTTGGTAAAAATTATATAACAAATACAACATTTGTATATCTCTTTTGTAAAGGTAAAGCTCTACCTTGGCATTAAAATTTTCTTTCTGACCTTCCCACCAAGTTCAGATGGCTCTATTGTTCAAGGACCTATATCAAGGCTCCCTTCTGCTGTAATTAGAGTTCCTAGGCCGAGTCCTATGCAGTAGCACCATATCTGTCCATAAACAAACACGTGGTTGCAATCTACTAGTCCATTCGAATTTGGGAAGTAAACAATGCTGATCTTTTGGAGAGAGTAAGCCAAATCCCCACTTTTTGTCGAAAAATTTTGGAAGAAAGGCAAGGAAGCGGAAAAAAGATAGTAGGTACTACTTGGTCAATAAAAAGGAGTGCAGCTTAAAAGAAGTTCGTTCTTTACTGTTCCCCAGTTGTTTTGCAACCGATAGCTTCATCAATGGTAGGCTTGGACTTCTATCATCTCCACCTATCCACCAAAATTTCATATATGAGGGCACCATCTTCTGCTAGTTATCTTGTATACAGACGCTTTTGGCTTGCATATCGAATATATAAAGGAGTCTCTGAGATAGCAAAAAGGTTAATCTTTATAAAAACCGCCCTGTTGATTTACCTCACTACAAGTTACTACTCTCCAGTATCAAAAATAGGCTTTTCTTTTCATCAGAAAATTTGGTCCAAGTGATTGTCGGAAAGAGTTCTCTGTGGCAATTTTTGCAAAATATTAGTACTATATTAGAGATTCTACACTATTTGTTATATCAACATCCTGATTATAGAAATGTTTATTTAAACCCTCTAATTCCAAGCCAATAAGGATCTTTAACTATGATACAACCTTTACCATATGCCAAACATGTATTCGTATAGTGTCTTTTAGATTTTGCAACTAATTTAGACTTAATTATTTATCTATGAAGTAAACTTAACAATGTATTACATGTCTTATACATACTAATAAAACCTTGAAAATCTCTAATACAACTTAGATCTAAGTTTGTATAAAGTTTATATAATTTTAGCCAGATAAATGTATAAAATAGAGCAAATTTTAAAAATTTACTATATAAAAATACAATGTTTAATGAATTTCTATACAAAATTTTCTTTTTTGATAACATATGGGTTGTCTTCAGGGTTCTATACTAGTGTATACTTTTTTGTTCTAATTAGTATATATTGTCTGCTGCTATTATATTTGTATCTTATGCCATTTTTTGAATTATTGCACGGGTCTTATATGACAACCCATGCTTTTTTCATTTACTTATTAGCACGGGATTGTTACGTCAGACACCGTGCAATAAAATAGTTATTATATGGGTTGAATAACCCAGTTACTCACACGGGTTCATATTTAAATCCCGTGCCTTCGGCACGGAATATGAACCCATGTGTAACTGGGTTATTTATTACAACCTATACAATAACTATAACATACTACTATAATACAATCTGTATCTTAAGTACAAGTTTTTTAATTAGTTTACTATTACTTACTTCTACTCTATAAGGTTTACAAACCTTAGTATCTCATTCTGTTATTTCTCACACTGTACTCTTATAATATTATCAGTTTTTCAATACTAAATAGCCTAGAGGATTGGTCTGCCCAGATCAGAGTTTTTCAGGCTCAAGTTAAAGATTTTCTGATCCTTGGATTACATTTTATAGCAGGTGACTTTTTTTTTCAGGATCTTATTTTATAATTTTTCATTAGTTACCTTTAAGAAAAGTATAACTAGTATAGCTCTAGTGACTCTAGCAGCCTGGTTGGTAAATTCTTTTGCCCAAAGATCTTTGTCACCCAAATTCTCCAAATTTTCTATTACTATCAAAAGTCTGCTACTTCTTTATTTGAGATTTGTCAAGCTAGTTTTAGATTTTCAGTATCTCCTATATAGATTTTTAATATATATCAATCTTGAAAGTTTTATTATAAATTTGCATCACCTATACTGGCTTGCATTTCTTTATACAATAACACAAATACTTTTATATCTTCTAGCATACATAGTATTGGTATGTCTGGATTACAAAGTACTATATACAAAGAGTATGTCCCAACTAATTGTACAATAGAGATCTATTACTATAATACAAGTAAATTGTTTAAAACATCACTAGTAGAATTTGAACTTAGTATTATAGTCAAACTAACTTGGAAGTGCAGCAACTTTACTACTTTGCTATGTTGCTATATCCTTGATTATTAAATTTATTTTAATAGTTGTTAAGATATTTTACTTTAAAATTCAAAAAACTTTTATTTAATAATTTGTAGCTTTTTTTTTTACTAACAAGCTCTTATATGTTGAATGCAATTAGCATTATAATAGTATTATATTTAGAAATTAAAATCAAATCTAAATTATTATAGTCAATTATAAAGTTTACTAATCAAAAATAATTGATTATAGTTAATTATAATTGATTATATAGTTTGATCAAGTATAGCCTTTTAATTGATTATTATTAATAGTATATATTAGATATTATAAATATATAAATTTGATTTTATCGAGTTTTTATTTAATATTTTATCTAATAGCAACAATTACTTTACAGACAACTTAATTTGCAAAAATTTAAATTATAAACAAAATTATTTATAATTGATTAAGTTTTTATAAATAATTAGAGCATTAATATTTATTATGTAATATTTATTTCCTATAAGAGCTTTACCTCTTTTTTATTAAGATTCAATATGATTAGCCAGTTTAAAAAGAATCTGATTATACTAATTTCTTTGTATAATATAAAATATTGATATAGTATATGTTTAACCTTCTATCTTCTAAAATATTATATAATAAATATCAGTATCCTTATTTCTCAAATTTTAAAATATACTTATATATACAATATTTTTGATTTTAGTATAACTATATTGTATAGCTACTTTAATTTGCAAAATTTTATAATTGGTTGGACAATTATATTAAATACAATAAAATATATAATTCTGGTTTTAAACTTCATTATATAGCATAATATTTATATATAGTATAAGATTTAAACTATAATAAACATTTAATAAACATGGCA